ATATATATATATGAAGCTATGTTGAACATAAAGATTTCTTCAAGTGCACTTCTATAAACCAAGTTTAAAAAACAATTCAGGACAAGAAGTGGTTTGGATAATCCATTTGGTGCCTTGCTGAATTCTGAACATAATCCAACACTTTCCAATTGATTTCTGAGACCTTTGGTTTATTTTCAGTAAGACAGAATCAGAAACCAGCAGCACGTCATGCATTTTCTGATTTGCACCTCAGGGGGGAGGGGGGCATCTGCCAGTTAAATTGGCTGCTTTCCAATATCCCAATTTGGTTATTATCTACAACTTCACCCCCCTCCGCCATCTTCTCCCCCCAGGAAAAGAAAATCAACATGTTGTGACCACTCCTGTGAGCTCGTAAGGCATGGACTCTAATACTATGTAAAAAACACATTAAAGAAAATAATATATAAACTCTAAGAAGAAACATCTAGCCAGAAAGCATCACTGAGGGCATCTTTTCTCTTTCACCCCATTTCTAGTCACACCACCTCTCCCTGCTGACCCCTCCCAAAGTCCTCTTTGAAGAGTATGCAGTGACTCAGGCACTGCTGAGAACAGTGAGTGTTTCACGGCCTACCTTGGAGGCCTCTATGTGGGGGGATTCTCTGCCAGCCCTACATCCCTCTCCCATACACCGTTCATCTCTGCCGTCAACATCCGGGTGCCCAGGCCGGTATAGATGCTCCATGTCCGTCAGTCTTTGAGCTCCTTGGCGGAAGGACACGGTGCAGCCGCACAGTGTTCCTGGCTGTTTAACCTCCCGCCACGAGGCAGGCCCTCATTCTGTGCACAGCCTCCCTCCTGATAGGGCTTCAGTATTGCACCTGCGCATGCCTGTCTCTTCATTCCCTATGCTGTGACCTATAGTTTATTTCTATTTTGCTGTAAATATCTGAACGTGGCCAACTCCAGGGATTGCACAGAAGCAGGAAATTTTTCAAAGACAACATAGTGTTGGAGCCCTGAGGTAGAAATTGTGCAGGAGACCTTCTTCTTCCTTTTTTAAAGAATAAATATTTCTCTCCACTAATACATGTTGCGTCGCATCCGAAGTTCTCCTTTTCAATCTCCCTGGCACAGACACTGAAGGAGGAGAACAAAGCAGGCAGAGAAGAGAGATGACAGGAGTCGAGGGCAGAGACGGGGGAAACCAGGAGCGCATTTAAAAAATCTGTCTCAGAAACAATGGTACCGACTCATCCTCACTGCAGAACCTAGTCCCAGCCCTCCCACTCCCACCTCCTCCCCTTGCATTTTCTCTAAAGCTAGCCATTGGGGCTACACGTAGAAATAAATTGTTAATCAATGAATGCCATCCTGTTTAATTAATTTGTTGCACCAAACAGGTGTGGGTGAGGGTGAATGCTGCACTCGGGAAATGATGCTAAGGTAATGGACCTTTTTTTTCCTGTTTGTAAATCATGGTCCTGACATTTCTCTCTTAAAACTCTTCCTTAAAGACTATAAAAATTTTTTGAAGCTGCTCTTATTCTAGTGAATGTGGGAAGTTAGCCAGATACAGAATCAGAAAGGATGTCTCTCTCATGTATATATATATATATAGATAGATAGATAG